TGGTGATTAATGCTCAAACCTTCTCCATGTGAGAAGAGGCCTTTGCTCAGCAGTGGGCACTTATAGGCTGATGATGATGAGGTTTCGAACCTTCGTGCATGAGATGCGGACCTTTACCTCCGGGCCACCACCACACATATGTATGCTGCAGAGTATATTTACTAAGAACAATAAGAAGCTAATTAACGGGCCTTAAATAAATACACATATAACAGATTATAAAAAACAATTGAACTAAAGGAGATTAAGGTTATTTTTGTAACATGAATATATTTTTATATGAAGGACCATAAAGAAACAGTTCGTTGGTACAGATAGGACTTGTTTTCGAATGAGAACAGGTTGATTTCACTTTTGATGTGAATGTGCAACTGGATTGCAATTTCCAACGGTACTCTTTATAAAGAAAGTTAATCCTAAATGGCTTCCTTTTTTACTCTCTGTGTCTATTTAATCTTTCAATAGTGGTAATTCGAGACACTGTATTAACAAAATAAGTGCGTGAGCGTCGGCGTTCGCTTGGGAGTTGATGAATAAAATAAATAAGTAGTAATCAAATAAGACTTAATCTGAAAATGGATACCCCCTTCTCCTTAATTACTCGTACGACCACTCAATCTATGGGGCAGAGCAGTTTCCCACATATACGTATGTTTTTAATAAATTTAGTTAAAAAAGTATTACTTTTTTTTATGAGGGGGAACTCATCAAACAATCCCACCCTGTGTCAGACTCTTAGACTCTCACTGGCTAACCCCCCCCCCCCCCCCCCCGATCGTTCTCCTGCTTAAGGTCGAAGCCGCGGTGACTTATTGCACTTGCCCCGTAACCCCGGCTGTTGATGTATTGCTCGGAGTATTGATTATAATAAAACAATCAAAATACTGTAAAAACCCAGCAAAAAACGAGTTCTGACGTCATTCTTTACCCAAAAACGAACTATACAATAACAAAAAAGCAAATCACAAAAATAACTACAAAAAGTATTTAGTAAAATAGTCTAATTTGAGATTATAGGTAAATAAATAAGCGATGCAATATCGATTATAAACTTTTTGTTATCGATAAGTAATCGTTATCGATATGATTCTTTAGTTTTTTTTTTCATATTTCTTTTGCAATGTGTTCTCGTAATCGCGTTGGTAATACCAACAATATGATGAAAGAGAAAACTATGGGGGCTTTCCAGGTTTTTGTACTGAGTGGGTCAGGTTTTATTTAAATACACGATGACGCATAGGTGCTACGTACTTGCTTTTTTATATGTAGGTATTAGTTTAACTAATCTAACGTCAATCTAAACTTATATTATAAAGAGGTAAAATTTATAAGTTTGTACGTAGGGGGTAATCTTTGGAACCACTGGTCGGATTGCCAGAATTCTTTCACTTATAGATAGCTACAATGTTCCTGATTGCTATAGGCTATAAAACATCACGATACAATCAAATGGAGCTGAGCAGCGAGTGAAACCGCGCGGGAGTAGCTAGTGTGATATACATGTTGTGTTACAAAATAGAAGGATTTCTTTTTTGTGGGGAAAAAATCACCAAATTTCTTCTCTATTTTAGCCTTGGGCGGGGCGAAATTCATTCAGAAATCAGAAAATCAGATTCTAACTGACTAAAAACCACCCCATTCCTTCTCCTGTTCCAGACTGGCTACTGTACATTATGGCGCTTGACCAGTAACTCCAGATGAATATCAGCCCTGTTGGGCCTCATCTGAGGTGGTCAGTCGGCTTTTTGAGGCTCGCCTTGAACGCAACACGCCGTACGCTCGGGTCTGCTTCTGGACGGATAAGCTATCCTTTCTCGCTATCCACAGACCCAAATAGATGGATCATCATCATCATCATCATCATCATCATCATCATGAGCCTATAAGTGCCCACTGCTGACCAAAGGCCTCTTCTCACATGGAGAAGGTTAGAGCATTAATCACCACACTTGCTCAATAAGGGTTGGCGATTTTAAAGTTATAATTACACATTATAAAGTCCAGGTTTCCTCACGATGTTTACCTTCACCGTATGTCAGTGGTGTCTAAATACGTTATAATAGAAAGTACATATAACTCGGAAAAAGTCACATTGGTACTTGCCAGGTTTCGAACCCGCACCCTCATGTATGAGAAGCGGGCTCTTTAACCCCCGAGCCACAACAATTAATAGACGGATAACGGGTACAAATTTTCTCATCAAGTTATCAAACAATGCAGTAATTTGTTTTTACCTGCTAAATGAGTTTTGGGTAGACATGGTTTGAATAAAATGAATCTAATTTTGCTATGAAGTGTATAATGAGTTCCTACTTAACTACTAATTTGAAAATCGTGGAACAAACGAAATTAAGTTTGATAGGGTTGTCAAATATATTACAGAGATAAATTAAATCTTTGAGGAGCTTGCAAAAATCAGCGTGAAACACGTACGTTGTGTTTTGCCGTGTGAGTGAAGTTACTGAAGCCCTAATCCTTCCCCTCAACAATCATCAAAACGCCTACAAAAGACAGGCAACGCACTTTAACTTCTTTGTTGTTAGGACTGCCCATGGGTCGCTTCAATTGCTTACCATCAGGGAATTCGTCTGCTCGTTTGCCGGTCTATTCCATAAAAAACAACTTTGTTTGAAAATAATATTGAAATTCAACAGTTTCATTGTTCGTGTAGAAATTGTTCGCGCGCGCAGTACGCTACACCGCTACTACTTATAACAGCGTGCCGAAAGTGTTTTTTTTTGTTTTCTTTTTGTAAAGGGAAAATCATCAAATGAATACTCCCGCCCAGGGGCGGGCGAAAGGGAGTGTCAGACTCTTACCGACTAAAAACCCCCCTGTTCCTTCTCCTGCTCTGGGCCGAGGTCGCGGTGCCGTGCCGAAAGTGGTAACCCTACATCTCCTACATAACATATTAAATCATAGTTTTGGTTCGGCTTCCGCGCAATTTGACTAACAAATGTGTGCTCGTCACGTGCCATAACTCCCGCTAATGACTCTAGTCTATGAATGAATTGCACAGATTATACCTATACTGTTGTTTCTGGTTAAATTGGTTTTTTAACTTCATTTTACATAGGTTACCAACCTAACTCAGCTATTCTCTGCCTTAAAATGAGTTAATATAAGATTTAGTTTGTTTACATTATCAGCAATTTTGGCTGGATATGGGACATTAGCGAGACTTCAATTTAAATACCGCGGCTTTGTATTTCGAAGTGTGAGTGAGGTTACTAAATTTCCAATGCACTCCCTCCCCCTTCTCTTCCCAATCCCTAAAACCTCCAAAACTCTTTATTGCCTAAAGGACGAAAACCCTTGTAACTTCTATGTCGTTGTAGGTGTCCATGGGCGGTGCTGATCAGGTACTCCGTCTGTTCGTTGGCCCCCGTATGACATAAAAATTAATACCGAAAATAGTCTTTACCGTAACGGATATACAGTTGTTTTGAGTTTTTTTATGTAATAGACCGGCAAACGAGGAGTTACGAGTGCCTTGCCGACCCCTTAGGGACTAGTGTTTTGGAGATTAAGGGATTGGAGATTGACAAGTCACACGGTGAAACACAACGCTGCGGTTGTTTCACGCCGGTTTTCTGTGAGGCCGTGGTATCACTCCGGTCGAGCCGACCCATTCGTGCCGAAGCATGGCTCTCCCACACTTGTTGGGAAAATTATCAAATTTTTATGAATGGGTTACCACCCGTTATCTGCTTCTCCTGCTCTGGGCTGGAGTAAGTACACTATTTGGCTTGCAACCGCGACCCGTATAGGCAAGTCCACTTACGAGGTAGGTCTAGGACGAGAATTTAAATATTTTTACTTTATGTAATTTTCGTCTTATTTGTTTTCGCATGTAGCTAAAGACTTTCTTTCAATTAATAAGATTGTGAGTACTTAAATAATTGTAGGTTTAATGTGCATTTCTACAAACGACCATTAATTCTTTCCCGTTATTGATAACGCCATATAAATACTTTTACTTTGTAATAATTAAACTGTTTTTTTTTTGTGTATACATAGGACGACTTTTAGACACACGAAATATTTAACAAAATATGTTTTTCCTCTTTATATGAATTTGTATTATAGCTAATGGCTAGTCTTCTATAGGGAAACAAAGAAACAATGTAAGTATTTATTTTTGCAAAAAGGCCATAAAACAGTAGATTACCTAAGCCGGCATTTCCGATCTGACTACTCCGAGTACTTAGGTACTTACTACAATATTAAGGAACTCGTAATATAGCAGATATTTTTAATTATACTTATTATAAATAATAATAAAATAATTATTGTTCAAAATTATAAGTATTTTAATCTCATACTTTTGTAAGAATAAATGAAATGTCATGTTAATTTTATTTTGTAATAGCTTTTGCCAGCGACTCCGTCTCGACAGGAATAGTGAATTCCTGCAGATTTTTGGTAAGTATAAAAACTATCCTATGTCCTTTCTTGAGCTCTAAACTATGTCTATACCAAATTTCACAGATATCGGTTCAGTAGTTTAGGCGTAAAGAAAAAACAGACAGACAGAGTTACTTTTGCATTTATATTAGTTTGGATAATAAAATTGAATCAGAATTTTCTTAAAACATCGTTGTTTATACGTTCAAATTAGTACAATTGTATAATATAGATAACATCCAAATACATATTTATTTTGTGTTTGAGAAAGAATAGCTAAATAAGTTATTTTTCCATTGCTAAAATACTTATTACTAAGTACAATAACATAGAGTTCAAAATCGATAACTAGCTCATTGTATTAGGAGAAAATGATCAGTAAGTACCGAACGTGGCGAGTCTTAGAAAATAACGAAAGTAAACAGATTTGTGTCGCGACTTTACCTACGTGTATTGAATATATTACACATTGTTCTTGTTCAATGTTTACTTTTAACAATACTATACGTTTCTTCTTGACGACTAAGCGCAGTTTCACCGCCTTCAGACTCGTAGAAGTAACTGGTAATCTTATGTGGCACATCACAACACACATGATCAGCACGTTTAAGTGCCCATTGCTGAGAAAAGGCCTCTTCTCACCAGGAGAAGGTTTGAGCATTAATTAAAACGCCTTACTCATATTTCAAATTCATAATTCGAAATTTTAGGTTAATCCAGGTTTCCTTGATGACGAGACATGGTCTCCGGTCACCGTAAGCGCGCGTCTGCGGACGGCGAGTAAGAATAGCTCGCCGCCCGACCAGAACCAGGCCAGTCACCGCGGCCTCGGCCCAGAGCAGGAGAAGGGACGTGGGGGTTTTGAGTTAGTAAGAGTCTGACACTGGGCGGGAGAAGGCATTTAATGATTATCCCCTGACAAAAAAAGGTTTCCTTGATGTACTATATTCCTTCACCGGTGTAGGTAATTGGTGACGCAGTTTTTTAAACTTTTGAAGCGATTTTTTTTTATGTTATATGTCGGCAAACGAGCAGACGGATTACCTGATGGTAAGCAATCAGCGCCGCCCATGGACACCCGCAACGGAGGAGTTACGAGTGCGTTGCCGACCTTTTAGGGATTTGGGATTTGGAGATTTAGGAACTGGGGAGGGATTAGGGAAGGGGAAGGATTGGGCCTCCGGTAACCTCACTCACACGGCGAAATACAACACTGTGGTTGTTTCACGTCGGTTTTCTGTGAGGCCGTGGTATCACTCCGGTCGAGCCGACCCATTCGTGCAAAAGCATGGCTCTCCCACACGATTATCAAAGAATGATCATAGTAAGCTCCGTATTAATTTTTAAATACCTATCCAACAATATATAACACGTTACATGTTTGAAATGAAAAAAAAATCACTCACTACCTTACGTGAAGGAGAACTAATATTTTATTAGGGTACCCTAATTACGTGTAGTAACTAGTAGTCTAGTACTAGTCGTGGTGGCCCGGAGGTTAAGGAGCCCGCTTCTCATGCATGAGGGTGTGGGTTCGAAACCTGGCAAGTACCAATATGACTTTTTCTAAGTTATATGTAAGTACTTTCTATGATTATTTAGACATCACTGACATACGGTGAAGGTAGGTAAACATCGTGAGGAACCCTGGAATTATAATTTCTAATTATAAGTTTGAAATCGCCAACCCGCATTGAGCAAGCGTGGTGATTAATGCTCTAATCTTCTCCGTATGAGAAGAGGCCTTTGCTCAGCAGTGGGTACTTATAGGCTGATGATGAATTAGGTAACAATGATGTATAATCATAGTTGGCGTATTGGCTGGGCAACCGGCTGCTATTCAACATGTTACGGGTTCAATTCATGCACAAAACGACACTTTGTCTAATCCACGAATTGTTGTTTTGAGTCTGATTGTGACGTGTATGGGAAATAGTATATTTATAAACTCGCCCATGACACCGGAGAAAGTCGTCCCCACACTAGGACTTTAACAACATCTTCTTAAAAATAATACACCTAAGTACTTACATGAGCAACGGACAAATCAACAATCGACGTTTTCGTCTAAAACATCAATTTGAATGAACAAATCGATCACACTGTTTATTTCCTATACTTTTGTTTGTACACGGAAACATCAGGAGACAACCCATAAACTAAATCATTCCACAATACCCCACCATTACAAATCATGGTTCCACACAATTATGCTGTCATGGCGTATCACCGTAGATTTAAAATGGGATCGGATCATGCCAAGTCATTCGAATGTTTTCAATTGATTTTTCCACTGTGAGAAGTTAATGAAAATTTCATGGGTTACAGGCTTATAAAGTTATGAAATGACTAATGGGGTGGACAACCTAAGGTCGTTAGCATTGCAGTTTTCAACTTCGGCAGGATGGGTTGACTGAACTAGAGTGATACCACGGCCTCATAGCGCTGTTTTGCCTTGTGAGTGAGATTACCGGAGACCTAATCCTTCCCCTCCCCCATCCAAATCTCCAAAACACTAAACAACAACACATTTTACACATGTCGCTTTTAACTCAACTTGAAACTCAAGGAATAGTACAAATCAATATCATTAATCCATAGAATTCATAGCGAACTAAATGTCTTAGCCCAAGGTCAAAAGGTCATCTGTCCACGGTTAAGGAAAACCGAGCAAGTAATTATAATGTTTTTTGTGTGAAAATATCAACTTTTTGTGGCTAACTGCTCCATCTTGATTATGAAATCAGTGGTTATATCAATCAAATAATTGCTTCCTCTATTGTTGAGACGCAAAACCTATTCGTTGGTACCTACCTACGATTAAAATTCCATAATAATGGCTCTTAAGATAGCTTTAATGAAAGGAATGTTTCCTTTGTCAGTTTGTCAGCAATCAATGGGGATGTAAAGATGGTGACACAGAACACAGCGACGAAGAACGACGTAAACATTTATGACGTCACTAATCATCGCGCAAATGAAGTTTACACGCGATCAAAGACGGATAGAAAATCCCTACGTACCTACAATGCGGGGTAAGCGCAATGAGACACCGCGACCTCGGCACAGAGCAGGAGAAGGAACAGGGGGTTTTTAGTCAGTAAGAGTCTGACACTCCCTCCTGCCCGGCCCTGGGCGGAAAAAGTCATTTGATGATTTTCCCCTCACGAAAAAAAAAACACACAACTGCTGGGCAGTAGATCGCCTGGTCGGAGAATCCTCCTTTTCCGATCTCGGGGAACGTTATTCTGTTTCCCTAAGAGGTACCGGTAATTAGCTTACCACATGACACTAATTGAATACGAGGTATTTTGGCCAATCACATCAACGTCAACGTCCAATGGTGTCAAACTATCTAGCCCCGTATTGGACGGAAAGACGACGGGGGACGCTACTAAAGATTCTGAAAGATATGGAATTTATAAAGACTCAAAACTATATTGCAATTTATAAAACTAAATCCACAATTGGTATTAGACAAAGAATAGAATAGATGTAGATGAGAAGTTGCAATGGGGGCCCCACATCAGGTCTCTAGCAGGACGATTGAGCTCTGCAGCTTATGCTGTCTGGAAGATCCGTCAGCTAACCGATGTAGGCACGGCAAGACTAGTGTACTTTAGCTACTTTCACAGCATCATGTCGTATGGAATTCTGTTGTGGGGACAGGCATCCGACGTTGAGTCTATTTTTATCTTGCAAAAGCGTGCCGTCAGAGCTATATATAACTTAGGTCGTCGCGAATCTCTCAGAGAAAAGTTTAAGAAGATCAACATTCTGACCGTACCGAGTCAATTTATTTATGAAAACATTATGTATGTTAGGAAAAACCTACACTTATTTGTAAAGGTATCTGACAAACATGATTATCATACTAGACATAGGAATAGATTGAGTCAGCCTTTATTTAGATTGGCAAAAGTGCATAAGTCATTTCTGGGTTTCTGTGTTAAATGTTATAATAAAATCCCAGTTGAAATTCAAAATCTAAATGAAAGCAAATTTAAATTATGTATAAAGAAACATTTATGTAAACTAGCATACTACAAACTAAATGATTATATACAAGATAAAAATGCTTGGAGGCTAGCTGGTCCTACTCCACAGGATGTTTAGAAGAATTTTTGATTTTAATTATTAAATTGTACACTATGTTGTTAATTGTTGATGAACTTCTAAGTTTTTTGTAAATGTGAGTACCCTGTAACCTATTATAATTAAGTAAGACTTGTAGAATATAGGTACTTGTGTCGGCTGGGAGCTGTCATGCTCACTTAGAGGTCTCATTGGCGGTGGCACGGGCACTGGATCGCCCAATTCCCTATAATATGGTTGAGTTGGGCGGTGCTGGTGTACGTGTCATGTTCGTGAACGGGCGCCGCCTATTGGGACTGGTCATCTCCAGGCTGTCTAAATATGTTGTCCTTGAGGTTCACTTCTTTTTCGTACCTTTTGCCTGAACATTAGTGTTACATTGTTCTCACATATCAGAACCAACTAAATGATGTAACAAAGAAATGTATTGTAATACTGATTGAAAAAGAGTAACCATGGAGTTTCTTGCTCGTTCTTCTCCATAGGAATCTACACTTTGGAACGAGCAAATAGCTTCACTAGAGGACAGACGGACAGACTGACATGCTTAATTTTAGAGCTCATGTTATATACTTTTTTCCTTTTTTGCTTGCTTGACGTTCAAAAGTGCCTACTGTGGTCTAATTGAAATAAATGATTTTTGACTTTTGACTTTTGAAATACATTTTTGGCCCAGTCAGGTACAGCAAAGTTAATTTTTACAATGAAAAAGAAATGTCGTGACGGTCCAGAAGTACAGGCAATTTCTTTTCATGCATGAAGGTGCGGTTCCGACATCTGGCAAACCAATGTTACTTTTTCCGAGTTATATATACTTTCTATGATTATTTAGACACCACTGACAAATAGTGAAGGAAAACATACTGAGGAACCTGAACTTATAAATTGAATATCTAATTATAAGTTCAAAATCGCGAATTCGCCTTAAGCAGGCGTGGTGATTAATGCTTAAACCTTTTCCGCTTTCAAACAATAAAACAATAACGAAATCAAAGGTGCTTCTGTCATTTAAAATTATCAGCATTTCTGGACTATGGACTGGAACTCTTGCAGATAAGGGGTCTCCCATAATGTACAATTAGATAACAGTTTTAAAAAGTGCATTAGGACCAAGGAATCTAACTTCGTTACCTAGTGCTAGTGTAAGATTGTTTTGCGCAAGTCATTAGGAACGGATGCATTAAGGATTCTTCCTAATGTTTAATACTTAAACAACCTTTTTCGTTCGACTTGGGTTTACCGCAACCTTCATGCATATCAAATGATTACGCGTGAGAAAATTACTAAATTAGCCTTAGCAAAATATTTATTATATTGGGTCATTTATAAATCATTAGATCACGCCATTTTATCTAAGATAGGATTAAGTGATGGTGCATAACTGCATTTGTACATAGAACAGCCAGGGTTGGGAATACCCCGACGGGCCAATACCCGGCGTCGGGAGGATGCGACGAATGCTTCGGCGATACCGGCCCCTCTGACATATGGGTAATTGGAAGAACACCGGGTTGGTTTTAGTCAGAAAGAGTCAGACAGTGCCCTTCGCTAATCCCCGAAGGCGATGGGTCTCCATGAGGATTTTCCAACCCGATACCAAAAAAAAGGTACACCAGTAAGGGAATACCAGCCCGGACCAGGATAACGAACGGGGTGGTTTTTAGCCAATATGTGTCCGACACGCCCTCTCGCCTCAAGTCATTAGATATATTTATTCCCTGCGAAACATACTTATCTTTATAAACAGCTTCTGAACTGAGTCTACGTAAAGTTC